AACCTCAGGTTGATAAATATTTTAATAAAGGTTATCAACAGGTCGCATAAGCCCTGAGTGGCGCTAGTTTATCGGTATGCAACGAATTATTAGATCCCTAAGTTGTCCTCCTACTTTCTTTTGTAAACTTTCGAACGCCTTGTTGGGTATCCCTTGTCCACGATAAACAGTGATTGTTCTTCCGAAACGAGTAGTCGATGAGTTTTACAGATTGCGAAGCTCCTCGTGAAGGTCTTGGATGAAAAAGCCAAGCTTGAATACATGTCAATGTCTTGTGTTCGCAATGCTTTATTTAGCATTCGGTAGAGAAAGCATTCTTTCGTGTACCACTCTATTGCTTGCTCTTTCGAGTATTCATCAGGTCGCATAAGCCCTTAGTGGCGCTAGTCGTTGCGGTATGCAACGAATTATTAGATCCCTAAGCTGTCAACCACCAATAAATAACTCATTGTTTTGAAAAATCTAAGCATCAGCTATCAAAACTTCTCAGATAGTAAGTGCATAAAAATACAGTTTTCAATGCATCTGTAATCCATGTTCCGCACTTTATCGCCTGTGTTTCTCTACTTTTTTCGCTCTTTGTCAGCCATTTTCTTTCCTATTCCATGCAACACCCCTTGTTTTACGCGCAGAAATTTATGCACTTGGAAACGGTAAGCTTTAAAAAGTATTGAAACAGAAAGGATATTATTCTCAAAAATCTCTGACAGCTTCCCAATCTACTTCAGCTTTACTTTTTAAAATCTCCAGCAATATCGATAAACTCATTTTCTCAACATATTTTCTGTTTGTGCGACTTGATGATACGTTTTATGGAATTGATCGATGGCATTTAGTTCTTCGTTATTGCCTGCATAGTTCATTCGACACAAATCGATCAGTTCTTGTTTTTTGGAGTCTTTGTGAGCGAAGTGAGTTAAAATATTGACAAGTAATTGGAAATACATGAAAATACGTCTAATATTCTTATATTCTAAAATTCTGAAATTTATTTATTCTCCAAAACTAACTTTCTAGATATCGATAAACATGAAAATTCAGTATTTTAATACTTAAAAATTGTAAAATATATCTAGTCTACTAAACTGACATCCCAGACATGGACAACTCTGAAATTCTAATCTTCTAATACTGTAAAATTCTAAAATTTATTTATTCTACAATACACTACTAAAGTCATAGATTTTGGATATTAAGAGAAATTAAAGTGAAATTAAAAGAAGGTTTTCTGAAGATCTCCTAGAAAACCTTGACCACGTGGTATTGGAATTTCTCCAAACATTTGTTTAGTCTTAAGTTCTCTATCGAACCACTTGTGAACCGAGTCTCCATCTCTCAGCTGAGCTGAGCTACATTCATTTGAAAAAAAGCTGAATCTTTTAAATTTGAAATTGAGTTGAAGCCTTGATTTGTTTTTTAAAATGTTCGCCTTTCGGCGCTGAATCTAGATATGTTATTTAAAATGTTCCATGTCCTAACGGCGATTTTTAAAACGCTTTTAATTCAACTAATGTAGTCCAAAAACCACGGTTTTCTGGAAGGGCTACTTCCAAAGGTTCTGGAGAAAACTTTTTGGAGACAAGAAGAAAGCGGACCTCGAGAAGCCCTTATAAACCAGAGGACAGCTTCAGAGCGTAGTGGAATTCGGAGATATCCTGCTTGTGCAAGACACCTATTGGCTGAAACTTTTCCCTCAACAAACTGGGCACCTGGATGTTTACAAATAATAGCCTTAATCTACGTACGGACATCTACAAAACAAACTATACAACCACGAAAAGGTTATTTTTCTGATTTTTTAATTTTAATGTAGTCTTTCTTGTCACTATTTAAATAGAAATATTAATTTAGATTCTTTTTCTGCTCATTATTTTTATCTTTGTACATTTCAATTAGAAGTAGTTTCCTACCCACCTTTTCTGTTGGAAAAGAAAAATTAGCTTTTATAATCAAAAATCCAGGAATGTTGAGCACACTCTTAAATTAGTCAGTTTCCGCCCAAAAATTTCAATAAAAAAAGATGCGTCATTATTTTTGGTCAGGGAGATATGTGTAATTGCGAGGCTGCTGATTCCGAATCCGAATGTCAGTTTCCGCTGATAGAACTTACGTAACTCGGATCTTTTAAAAATGCAAAAAAGTGCTGTTGAAAAGTTATTTTTGGTCTGTATCGACTCAGATCAAATCAAAAAATTTTTCGACTATTTTCTGTAATAAAAAAAAAGATACTTGACACCCAATTGTCGTATACAAATAAGTTTTTTCTTATCGTAACATCGGGTTCTATGGATAAGAAAATTTCTGTCAAAATCTTTAAGGTGTCGGAAATGCAAAAAAAGAGGAGCGGAAATGAAAAGGGGAGCGGTTTGTCGAATTCCTTGAATTATACATGGTTTGATAGAGCTCAACGAATAGATCAAGAATATGTGCTTTTTAAATTGTTTTCGATCGAGAAATTTTTAAAATACTGAAAGCTACAGAAAAAATGAAATTTTGACAGTTTTTGAGAAAATTCCACCAGCTTACATTTACTCTAATTTTTCTTTTTCTTTTTGCACTTCCGACTCAGCATCAAAAAGGAAGCAAGTTCAGGTAGGTTTGAGAATATTTCATCGTCATTGCCTCTTTCAGCAAGCTGGACTAGACTCGTGCAACGACACACTGACACCTTGATCTGGCAAAACCACAAGGGGACAACGGCTGATTGAAATCAGCCCAAATTCAGTCGAAAACCATGCAGAATCAATTGATTTTCGATTTTCAGCGATTCTTTGTTTAAAAGAGAAATTTGAAGAAAATATTGACGACGATACAAATTTATCATTTAAACAGGGTGGTGATTTAGCTTATAATCTTTTGCAAACATGATAAAGCAACAGAATACTATAATAAATTTTTAGAACAACAATTAAAGAATAAAACTATGAATTACTCGATCATTAATGAGGCATATTTTCGTTTGGCTTGGTCATACGCATCATCGCAAAACCGTGCTTACAATCAAAAATTATTTGATATTTATTTTAAAAAGATAATGAAAAACATGATACTTTAGATACAGCTGATATTTATCAAAATATTGGTCAGTTGTATGCACGTCAAAGCATGTATCAAGAAGCTTTAGATTATTTTAATAATCCTTTAGAACTTTGATTAAAATTAGTTTCCAAAGATGATAAAAGACCAGCCGTATCAGAAGAATTTATAGCTACGGTTTATTCGTCAAGGGCCTCCCCCCAGAAATGGTGATTTTCGGTCAAAACATCGGTTTTGAGATAAGCACATGGAAAGATCGCCTGCGGTGTTCATTTTCAGAATCTGTATTACTTTTGGTTACAAAAGTGGTTTTTCGCGGATTTTGAGAAAGTTTTCTAGGAGCCTCGAAAAACCGGGTCTTCAAATAACAACTTTTTCCTGGATACTTATGCAATTAAAATCTTTCTAAACACACAGATTTCTAGAGCAAGCCTTTCTGATCAAAATAAGATCTCGCACAACTCTGAATGACCATCAAAAAGTTACAAGCATTTTCCTAGAAGTTCTAAAATTGAGTGTTTCATACAGCGTTTAATTCAACGTTTTCTCTATATAAGAGTTACGCCTGAAGTTGTATCAAATTAAGGATTTTTAGAAAATCCGGAAGGCTTATCGATATGCCAGTGGCAGAAACAAGAATTTGGGATTCGGTCAGACGATCGATTTGGAGGCTATCTGAAAAAACGTGTGTAAAAGATTGAAGACGAGCTGGCGACAATTGAGCAAGTATACCAGTTTGTAGAAGATTGTTGCTCTACAAAGTGATAGCTTGTCAAGTTCGAAACTATTCTAATTAATCAAAGAAAAACGGTAACACTGTGAGTGACATATTAACTAGAGATCCGGATGGGTCGAAAATATTTGGCGCGGCCGATGTTTTTCCATTATTTTACATATAATATGATATTTCTAAGATAGTCTATTGTCACATTTTTCGATTAATTCATTCAACTGCTCAATTCGTATTATACGAATTCGTAGGAATAACGGCGAATTGATATGAGAAGTATACGAATCGATGAGAAGAGACGAATCTATCTATTTTTAACCTCAGAGAAAAGTGTCCTGTCCCTGACATCAATTCGTATTTTACGAATTCTATTTATGAATTCGTCGGTTATGCTTTGGCATCTATGAATTCGTAAATTCGCATTTTATCGTATTTTTACCAATGTACGAATTCGTACACGAATCCTTGGGGACCAAAATGATCATTTCACGAATTCGTCGATGGTCGACCAATTCGATTTACGAATTCGTAGGTACCGGAAATTTCTTTCTTATGAATTCGTCCTAATTTACGAATTGGCAAAAGGAAGAAAAGACGCAAGTTTTTGGTTCGTTTTTGATCATTTTCATTGGTTCGCACTGAATTGAGAATCCGCAAAACAATGCTAAAATGCGAATTGTTGTATCATTTTTACGCCCAAAAATTGCGATTCGTCAATTCGTCTTTGAACACTTTGTCGACACTAATGGGAGAATCAGAAAAAAGTAGTTTGGAATGTTAGAAAAACAATAAATATGAAAAATTTGCTTGTCTTCGAAAATTGTGCGAGTTTTTGATCATTTTCAAAAACTGGGTATTTTTAAGTTTTTCCACCAAAAAATGACTTCTTAAAATGTAGGATTGTGTTTTTCCGATGCAATTCAATGAGCTCTATCCAACCATGTCAAAAAAGCGAAAAAAATTTCGTACTGTAACTTTAAATTACTGACACCTTACACAGAAGTCTTCAACAGATTTGTATTCTACCTTTTTTTGTCTTTTTAACAAAAGAATCGACCATATTACTTCGTCAGCTGTTGTTACACGTATCTTTTCATTTGAGAAAAAATAATTCTGAACATTTTTGTTCGTTAGAAAGACAAAGAATTATCGTCTTATCGTGATCAAAATGAGAAAGAAAATTATCTTAATGAAATAGTAAATATTATAAAAGCCTTTTTTTATTCCCATTATAATGTTTTTCCTTCAGTCATTTGAAAATGGTCCAAATTTATTAAATACTAATGGTAAAGATTTTCGTGATTATTCTATTGGAGTTTTAAAAAGATTATATACAAGAGAAGAATTAAAATCATCAATTTTACCATCATCAGCAGCACACATTTATGCTAAAAAACAACTTGATCCAAAAAGATTTAAAGTTTTTAGAGGTGAGTTTGAGTGGAATTGCTTTTTAACCTATTATCGTCTAAAAAAAATGTATAAGGACGACATGAATGATTAGAAGAGTATCGAGACATAGACAGGTGGAAATTTTTCTTCCTCTTGTTTCACTCCTGTAGAACGTCGCCAATGTTCTTTTTACCACTAAAGATAAACTTCTTTCGTATCTTTCCACTAAAGAAAAATTTAGCAATATCAGGCTAAATCTCCTAATTTGTCTGATTTCGGTTACGAGTTTCGTGATACTTTTTACAAGTTTGATCGTTTTCGGCATGATTAGACTTGAGGAAAAGTCATGTCAGGATACTCTGAAAAACAAATCAGGCAAAATGATGCTGATTTTATCTGATTTTTTTCGATTGGATCCCTGTAGTCATTATTACATGTTTAAAAAGACTGTTGTTTTCCTCCAACTGTTGTAGAAATCTTTTCTTTTCTTAGATGCTGTTCGTATTAAACACAAAATAAGTGAACAACATTTTGATCATTTTTATTCAAAATTATTACGTAAAACATTAACTGATTTTCTTTATCAAGAAGGTGTTCGGGGAAAGAAGAAAGAAGTTAGAAGTTGAAAATACAAAAACATCATCAACGATAACAATATCAACCATCAACAACGACCAAAATTAAGCATAACAACAGCAACAATCAAAACATTATCTGTATTATTAGTCAAATCGTGTTAGAATGACAATTGTGTGATTTTCCACTTTTTGCTAACGTTTCGTATTTGTTTCTACTTATATGGATATCTGTCTTATAGTCCACTCCCACAAAGTCTTCTTCTGCCTTTTTTGATTGGAACTTATTTACTTCAGAAGTTATGGAATTTTTCGTAAAAGCTCTACAACAGACCGAAACGATAACTATGTAAAAGTGAAGTTTGTTTTATTTATATCTGAGTCTGGGAAGTAAATCAAGAGACCCCATTTGAAGCATACTCGAGGTCGAGTACTATCTATAGCCAAGAGCGTGTGCAAAAATAACTGTCGCACATGCGCAAGCATATGCACATTAACAAAGAATCTTATCAGGGCGAAGACTTTCGCATAACTTTTTTTAACCTGAAGAATATGTTATTGCATTTAATATCACTTATATCTCTACTACAAACTATGACTTCAGTTCAATTCAGTTTACTGTGAATTTGCCGCAAAGTCAAATTCCCCATTAACTCATGTAAAATAATTGAAAAGAATTTTAGCAAAATGATTTTACTAAAATTCTTTTCCATTATTTTACATATAATATGATATTTCTGTTTTGGGAACAGAGTTGTTTTGTTTTTGGGAAGAATATTGAGAGAAATATTACTATTTTATTCTGAAACAAAATAACACACTTCGCCACTCCGAACCATTGTTCGGAGTGTCAGAGTGCGGTGGAGTGCGCTTTACTCCGCGGAGTGGCCGGAGTGTGCGGAAGTGCGCTTTTTCCACCTTGTTATAAAGTCATAAAAATGACCTAGAAATGAGCATTACTGAATGACCATTTTATGATCATGTTTTGGGTATTTTTTCCGACTTGATCATTAACGGCCAGTTTTTATATCAGTTTTAATAATGATCATAAAATGACCAAGAAATGAGATCATACTCAGGTCGTTTTTCTACCATTAAATGATCATCCATTGCTCATCCTCGTCTCATATCATTAGTTGACCATTAATGGCTCATCAATATCTCATTTGCAAAACTTTGAATTTCATTCTTTAATGAATGTAGAACTAGTGAAAGAAAAGAGAATAGCGTTACTCATTTTGTCTCGCTCCGTAGTCAAACGTTAGTCATATAGGAAGACAAGAAAAGACGTCTACATATTACGACAGGTGTGAATGATAGTGGTTTGTCACAAACACCATCTCATTTCTAGTTTTTTTTGCCGGTAGTTGTATAAGGATTGAGTATCGGTTAAAAGCGAATCGGTCAAGATACACATAGAAAAAATAAAAGAGTAAAGACAAAAACATACTTTTGTTCATTATATGCCGAAATAGGTATAACAAAAAAGAATACAGAATACGAATAAAAAAGAATCTAATGATTTTTTCAATAAACGATAGTATGGAGATGTTTTGAAGTAATTACTATATAAATCTTTAACTAGATAATGTTCAATAACTGTAGATGATTCACCATTACATGCAAAAAAAAAGTTAAATAAATCCAAAATGATATTGTTCAGTATAACCAAATAAATATTGAACAAAATAACTTATTGATTGTTGGCGTTTATTATATATATAATAGAATGAAACATTTAATGATTAATACTAAAACGACGATAAATAATAAAACATTTATGTATATCTGTACAATTACATAAAAAAGAATAAAGATGTGTATGTTCAATAGGTGATTGTCCAGAAGGATCGTCTGGACCATTGGTAGTCGTTTGTTCTTGTTGTTTCTTGTTATGTATATGAAAATCAATGTTATAGTAATGTGTAATTAATGCACCATAATAACGTGAACCATGATGACTTGAACTCATGCTGCCGACAAGATCTTCTTGACCAAAACAACCAGTATTTGATAATGCACCATGATTATTATACATGTATGAATAATGTACCTGTAAATGTTATACAAAATTTTGTAAACTCATATAATATAAATCATGATCTCCATAGAATTGGTTAAATAATTGATTAGCAAGTTGACTTGTAGCCTTACCAAATGTTGACTGCGTAATAAACGAATGACACAAATAAATAATGCTAAGTGTGATAATTGTTGATTTGATAAAAATGGTTCTAAATTCAGTAATATACCATAAAATAACATGTTTCGTAATTCTGTTGCTTTGACATAAGCAAAATTTGATACAGCTCTCATTTTTCTGTTAATAGTTTTGCTTACAACAACTGTTGATCGGGACACTGAAAAGGATTTTTCAAGGTCTAAAAATATGTTTGATTTAAGGAAAGCTATTTTGACACGATATGACTCATTTTTAGATTGTGCTATAGTTGCTGAAGTCTTCTGAGGTGTTGTACTAATCATACATTAATCACATAAGGGAAAATAACATTAAAGAAAGAAACGAAAAACATGTAAAATATTGCGATAACTCATACATCAACAAAAATCACCTTTAACAACATGACGTCAGTTATAAGGGTTTGTTTCCTTCTTTCTGACACATTATAATTAAAGCTTTTTGCTTTTTATGTCACGAAACACGCGAAACAAACTATAAGCCAAAGGTTTTTTCCAACATGTTTTCTTTTCTCATTTAAGAAAGTGTTTGAAACATATTTCATATTTTGAGAAACAAATCAACTCTTTTGCTAATTAAAACAAAATTATTTTAACAAGAAAGGAGTTTGGTACGTTAAAGGTAATAAAATAAAGGCCTGAGTTAATTAGGCCATAAAATTCACTAAATAATACCAGGAAATAGAGCAAACATTTGTGATCAAAATGAGATATCTGCCAGCTCTGAATAATGTTCTGATCAAAAGTTATGACAGTTTTACCGGAAGCCCTGAAACATGTACCAGATACTGACACCACCATATCTCAAAAGCGACTTTCACCTCTGTACCAATACGTAGTTGCAAGATTTCTCCGTAATGAAAGATCGCAGAGAACTCGAAAAGGTCTTGAATTGAAGCTGACACATGAGACTAGTAGAGTCTGATTTTTATATTTGGTCTAATTTTATGGTTAGAAAAATATCTTTATGCAGGTTAATGAGACCTTTTTCAATCTGGGACTTTTGATGCTGACCATTAATTTGAGAAGTAAAATATCAAAAATCCGGCTCTGTCAGCTTCTAACTACATGAGTTTTTGTCAGCTTAAGATAAGTCTGAGCATAACATGATAAGATGGTTGTTTCAAATAAATTATTTAGCTACGCATCGATCAGTTGAATAATGTGCGATATAGACGAATGTCTTATGCTGTCTCTTTAATGGTGGAACAATAAACTCTCTTCAATCAGAGCTCTTATTTTTGAAGAAAAGCACTTTTATAAAATTAAAAGAATTTATAACGAGCTTGATCAGCTGTGGCGACTCCGCATATAAATTACCAGAAACAACGTATATCATTACGGTCATCCTTCTATTATTTCTACTTTATTTATAGGTTCGACAGTCATTCAGAGAAAAGTGACACATAAACTCACAGCAGTTAATCGTAGCACAACGTTCATCCTATACTGACATGAAAGAAAAACCAAAAAAGCGTGCAGGTGATACAAAACAACTAGCAACAAAACGATTTAAGGAAACATCTATTGATGGAGAAGAACGAAAGACAAGTATGTGTTATTCTTTAAAACAGTTTACTCTCTCTCTCTCTCTGGTAATAGTCTATGCAGTGATATATGGATATTACTCTGCCTTTCGATTATTTAAAACACGAAAAATTATTTACAGCTAATAAGTACAAACCCTAATAACCACCGTTTATTTCTATAAATACTAATCTTTGAAAAATGTTCTGGATAAAATAACATAAAATAAAATGAATTTTTGGCAGCTTTATTTATACTTTAATGGATTTGTTGCGATATTTTATAACGATAAACAATTGTTTATGAAAGTTATCTCTATATGCCTACAAAGTTGAGAACATCGCACCTTAAAACTAAAACATTATTTCGCTAGAGAAACACATTTCATTTTCAGAGATGAACATCAACCAGAAAATGAGTAATTAGTAATATTAATACTAACGTAAGGTGCGCACAGTGTAAAATTAAAACAAAATTGTTTTCTTAATTTATTATACATTGTTGGATGGATATAATCGAGCTGATTAAGAAAATGTATTTTTTAATTTTTTCAAAATATTTTTTTTGATATCGAAAACTCGAGAATTAAAATCTAGATTGTTTTTCAAACAGCATTAAAAACTGAACAGAAAAATAGTGTTTGCTCAATTTCGGAGTTAAAAGTCTGTCGGGCTTGGACGTCCCAAACGAGTCTTCTAAAGTGCGGGTCACGGAATTTCATTTTTCCGTCTTCTGCGCCCTTTATTTGGGCGAGAAAGCAACATTTATCGATGAAATTTATATCAGTGATGGGTACTAATGGATTCTACTATCAAACAAAATTTGAACTTGATTTTTCAGATGGATCAAAAGTTAAAGTCAAAATAGAGACTGTCACGGAAGTTCAAAAAATAGAATTTGTTTTGAGAATCTCGGTAATTTTGGGACGTGATGTTCAAAAAAACTTGAGGTTTTCGGATAGAATAGAAATGTATTAATCGACTCGATTTTATTATCGAGATTCCAAATATCGGCATAGCCAGCTAACGGTCACCCTTCGGATCAGAAGGTTCGCATTTTTATTTTCACTCAAACAAAGCTTAAACGTATATTTTAAATTTAACTTCCTGATCTAGATATTTTTTTCAAAAATTCTACAAACTATGCCATCGGATAGAGAATCAAATTAACTACACAATGTCTGATTTGTTTTTATGTTTGGATGCCAAAATTGCTTTTTAATTTTCTAAAAAAGGTTTTGTTGCTCATTTTGTGAACTATTTTCTACACATCTAATCTAATGTCGAAACTTTATTTCTGGCTGCATGGGATAGTGGATACCTCTAGCCATGTATTTATGTTCAAATTACAGCTGGTAAGCAGTTTTGTGAACCAAAAAAGAGCAAAGAAGAGCAGAAAAAGGTGAAATTTCGCTACATTCACTCTTTTTCGAGTTCTTCTGCCAGGAAACTAGTTCAAGGAAAAATCTATAGTGATTCTAACAGCCCAAACTGTGAGCTTTAATTTGGTAACTAAGCGATCATTTCATAATTAACTTGAGACGGAATAATTCATATTTTACTAGAATGTCCAGAGAAAAAGTTCTATTTGTTGAACCTCCATGACGGTCTCTATTTTGACTTTAACTTTTGATCCATCTGAAAAATCAAGTTCAAATTTTGTTTGATAGTAGAACCCATTAATACCCATCGCTGATATAAATTTCATTGGTAAATGTTGCTTTTTTACCTAAATAAAGGGAGCAGAAGACGAAAAAATGAAATTCGGTGACATTTGGCCACGTCGATATAATATTTTTTATGCATAAAACTTGAGCTCTGATAAAAAAAATTTAGAATTATGGTCAGAATTCGACTTTTTCACCTATCATTTTGAAAAAAATCAACTTTTTTAGCAATAAAACAAAACTTTTAAAAAAGCGAAGCGAACTTTAAAAGCTGACTTTTCAGCAACCCTAATGGCGTACAAATGACAATTTCAACCAGTAACACAAAAAATTAGACAGATCTATAAAATGGTATACCCCGTACTTTAGAAGACTACTATCTGTATCAAAATATAATGGACTCCGATATTTCGCTTATAACTTT